GTTTAGCTCATATAATCTGGAAATAGTAAATCGCTAGGATTTTATATTCTTGTCGTACCCCTAGGACTAAGTTGTTCATAACTAGTCCTGTTTATTTCGATATAATGTTAGGTCTTGTTTAGGTTTTATGTCTATCTTTGAATTTTGACTTTTAAAGTGATTTTATTCATTTTTAGTTTAGTCGTACTGATGATGGAGCTGGACTCCGAAACGTTTTCAATATCGATATGGTGAATTTTCTTGGCATTTTCTTTGCTTTTAAATTCCTTGAAAAAATTATTGATTCGAAAAGAAATTAATTACAACGGAAAATTTCCAAGTGTATATGCAAACATCAACGATGCACCATATAAAATCACAGTGTTGTTATATGGGTACTGGCTATATGGTAGTTCATGAGTCTCTTGAGAATTAACTTTCACTCTCACCACTCGCTAGTCGCTACAAACCCTTACGTAATAGCCTATCTCCACGCGCAGTCGTTGACAGGATACGTTGAGGTGTGGTTAGGTGTCGCCACAGTGTCGGTCGAGTTATTCTTGATATACGAAGAGTTTGTTGGATAAGTGGAAGATCTTGTGGGTACTAATGTGGCTGCATTAAGTAAAATTTCACTTCCCTCAGTACTGGTCAGAACTATGCAAGATTTGAAGAGTTCAATTCCCGCAATATAAGTTCGCAGCAATTTCGATTGCGCTAAAAAATTGTGGTTTAGTTTTAGTTATAAAACATATCGTCTAAAAAGATAGGCCAAGGAAGTGCTGTGGTGACTTGAGTGGCATTACCGTTGATGATATTAACTAGGGTAAATGAGCACTCTTTTTATTATTGTTGGTTGGTCCGTTGGTGCTATCTAGAACTTATAACAATTAGTCTAGGTAGCTCTTCAGGAGTGAAGAAACTATTCCCAAGAACTGTAATCCTGTAATTCTTCTGAAACAAAAATTCAACCATGTGATACTTGTTGCATTACATTCATTAAATTGCACGACTACGAGCAATGTAAAGACATTTAAGAACAATGATTTTTTGCAAAATGTGGTCACTACGTAGCTACTTTGTTAGAAATGGTCGACAGTGAATACTACTTATGTCTTGTGTTAAGACTTATGCTTGCCGAGTCTACTAACGACATTAAACTGTCGATATCAACTTGGAATCAGCTTGTTGGATCAGCAAGTTACCAATTGTATATTATATAAGTTTTGTGTAAGTATTAATTTCGTTGAGAATTACCATTGTTTATTGTTCAACATCACACTCCTTTTACCTCAGAAATAATGTACCTATATAGTCTTTTGGTAATGTGCCGCTAAAAAGGCACTTACCAGGTACGCGATTAAATTATATTTCCTCCCGAATCAGGTGGTTAAGCAATAGAATCAGGTGGATAGAAATAGAAAATTTAATTACTTTGGTCGTTTCGGCAAACGGGCTACTATGACTGGAATGACTCTAGCATTAGCACCCAAGAGTAAGTTCATTTGTTAAATACGAGCAAATAAATCGATAGCTAATTTACTTATACAAAAATTTTACATTTTTTTTTCAAACCAGGGACCCATTATTCAATTTTTTTATAGAATTTATCAAATTTGTCATTTTATATTCCTTGTTATTAGAAGAAAGCAGACGAAGAAAGAGATGATAAGATGAGATGGCAACGCTTACTAGCCTGATCCTAATTTTGTTAAGCGTGTCGCTGTTTCACTCGAATAACGTCACGCAGGCGTATAAAATTCTTCTCTCAGTGCCCGTGTCATGCAGGTCTCTCCACAACCTATTCACATCGGTGGCTCTAAGTCTTGCATTAGCCAACCACAACGTCACCCTCATCTCCAGTTTTCCCGCCTCAGCCCAACATGATAATTTACATTATGTTTACGCCTTGGGTGAAAAGAAATATCCAACCGACAATATTTTCGAGGCACAAAGGCAAGTGGATGCTTTCACGATACTCCTGAACGCGGCACTCTTCGTGGGTGAAAACATGTGGCGTAACGCTGAAGTCTTGGCATTGTGGCGAGATCGTCATAGTTTTGACGCGGTAATAAGTCCATCGTACATCAATGAAGTTAACCTACCTTTCTTAATTAACTATACTGGCAATTTCTTCTTGATTTGCACCCCAGGAATCGAATATTTTGCTATACGCAACGCCGGAAACTGGTTGTCACCGGCTGTAGTGCCTTACATCCTCCTGCCCTACGATGAGAACATGACGTTCCTCGAGCGAGTCGTGAACGTCGTCACTCTGGTGGTCTCGCGCTATGCTATACCCTACTTCTTTTTCAGCAAGCAAGAGGAGCTACTTAGGAAGTTTTTCCCTGAATTCGGTGACGTTTTAGAGTGAGTTAACCTTTCTTCTAGTGTTAGGGAAAAGATTCATCTATGGATGAAATTAATTTATGCCCGCAGATGCATATACTGTATATGACTGCATAAACGGAAAAAATTTCCAATCAATAATAATTTTTATAACGGACATGTTATAAATTATTGATAGTAAATGATCGCCGTGTTTATAAGTCGCGGAGTCAATTTATTGACTCCGCCACAATGGCTATTTGTAGCACCTAAAGTCATGTCACACAAATGGCCATATGCTCGAAAATTCGTGGAGCTTGGATGCTGTGTATCTGCTTGTATTAATATCGGCGTTGCAGAATAGGCTGAGTTGGCTTGAGGACAAGATGCGTTATAGTTAAGATCAATTACTGCTTTATATTGCAATCCTATGTAAAGTTACTCCTAGCAATGAATTCAGAAAAGTTATACGATGAAAATTTTTCAACGTGGAAGTGACACAAGCTAGTTTTGGAAACATAATTGAACGACCATTTACTTTGAATTAAAACTCCCTAAGCCGAATTTATTGATCAAAGTTTATGTTGGCAGACACGAAATTTTGTCATTGATGGCTCCTCAGTCGCCATGTAAATCCACAGATATCTTTATTAATTAAGATGATTATTATTCATTATATCGATATATAATGAATGTTCTATCAGTTATATTACAAATACTTCTCTAAGCCAACTGTTCTATCAAATCAAATTTTAATATAATTTTTTATGTATGTACCTGAAATTTGATCGTGCGTCATCTTGTAAGAGTTTAAGCATCGCTATTTTCCTGTCGTAACTGGTGGAATTCTCTAAGCTTCTGAATCAGTTTGCTAATGTTGAGCTCAATATTTGTTAATATTGAGTTACTTTGTGCTGACCAGATACTATGACCGAGTTTCGTTGACGCTCATCAACGGTCACCCTGCACTGGACAACCCAGTGCCCCTGCTGCCCAGTCAGGTCTACATCGGCACCATCAACGCACATCTCCCACGACCCTTACCCATGGTGATGCATAGATATATGGAATTTTTAGATTTTCAGTATTATAATTAATTTATAAAACATGTGCAATTAATTTAGTTGATGTGTTAAGTTCCTACATCTTAGTTTAATTCAGAGCAAGAACGCATCTGATGATGGTTGCAAACTAACACAGTATTTAATTCAACACTGAAAAATACCAATTCGCTCCTCAAAGGACCTGGAGCAAGTTATGCAGAGCAGCGGGGACGCCGGCGTCATCTACTTCAGCATCGGCAGCGTTGCTGTCAGTAAGGACATCCCCGCCAGAGCGAAGGTTTGCAAGATAAACATTCAGCAATGAAATAATTTTGTCGCTGCGACTCACTGCCATTTTTGATCATGAGATAAATGTTTGAACTCTGAAGCTTGGTTCCCTAAACCATTACTCTGACGTCGTAAGTTCTGCTGCTAGAGGGTCTCTTCTGTTTGTCACACTAGGCGGCATTTCTGGAGGCGTTTGCGCGTGTGCCGCAGAAGGTGCTGTGGAAGTACGAAGGTGACGACTTGAAGCTGCCCGACAACGTCGTTACGAGATCCTGGCTGCCGCAACAAGACATACTGGGTTAGCATGAACATGTGCTGACTTAATTCAAATGAAGATGAAGAAAAATGATCAGTTTAAACCTAGGGTCACATCCAATTTCCACCGAAACCTTACTTTTCCATTGAAAACTCTTTAATTATTCGGAAATTACTTCAAATATTCTATTATTTGATTCGCTTACCAACCTGGCTTTTCGCAGGGTTAGTTTTGATACTAAAACACTGTACTTTGTTAACTCTCTAATCTCCCAATAACTCATCAGGTCATCCCAAAACGCGCCTGTTCATTTCCCACTGCGGAAATTTGGGTACTCAGGAAGCGAAGTACCACGGAGTACCTATTTTGGCGGTACCTGTGGCATTTGACCAGCCTCGGAACGCGGCCAGGATGGTACAGAAAGGCTTGGCGCTAGCATTAGACTGGCACACTCTCACTGCAGACGACATAGTCTCGGCTATAGACGAGCTTGTCAACAACACCTCGTGAGTTCTGTTAATTTGTTACTTGCCTGCTCAATTCAGTCGCTAGTTATTAATGTAACAAAGCTTAAAACTTTGCAATTATGCATTGATCATATAATTATCCTAAAGCTGTGTGAGTAACTATTCAAGACAGGGGTGAAAATATTTTTCTATAATGAATTGATATGTTTTTTTTTCAAAAACGTGTATAAATGAATCATTTTCAGTAAAGGCCTAATGTTGAGCAGAAATGTTATGACATAAAATAAATGAATAATTTGTGACCTCCAGGCTTATATACTCTCATCGACATATTCCCAATCAGGTATTCCGAACGCATTCAGAATTTATCAGCAATACTGAAGGACCAGATGGAGACACCTCAGAGGCGCGCGGTGTGGCACATCGAGCACTTCATTAAGAACCAAGGAGCGCCTCACCTTCACTATCCGGGGAAGAACCTGCACTTCTTGCAGTACATTTGTCTCGACGTCGTCCTTTTCCTCTTGCTTCTCTTATACATCGTTTGTCGGCTCTCTGCATACTTCCTTCGTGCCATTGGACGCAGAGTTTTTCGTATAAATAAGAGAAAGTTAAAGACACGCTAAGTTGATCCTACAAGAAAATTTAACGATTCTATGAGCTCAATCCTCGAACTGAGGGAAAGAACGGTAGTGTTTAAGACGACTAATTTAAATCCCGAAGAGTGGTTAATTTATCCTGGAACTAAAACTCACAAATCAAATTTCATTCGTGTAAAAAATGTTAGAAATTAACAATTTTCCCTTTCCCTTGGTTTTTTCTCGACATTATACCAACGCTAAAGAGTGAGCACAAAAACATTATTATTGTGCGATCAGTGCCACAGTGTCCAGTGTCCAAAATAAATCGGCAACCCGGTAAATTTTGTAGTTTCCTGTGGGCATGTTTACTAACAGCATCACGATTTTCCTTTCCGTAAGGCGGTATAACCATGGTTGAACTAATATTAGTTCTAATATTAGTTCAACCATGGGTATAACTATTGAGTGTTTTTCTCCACAGTAAACAAACATTGTATCTTTTTCTCATTAACTACACACTTTGTGTTTATTCATACATTTTAGAACGTTCATCTACGACACCTCTCACTTAAACGATTCGACACATTCTTACAAAAATTAGTCTTGGAATCAGTGTTATTCAATCAAGCACTTCCCTTCCATTTCTATGTAAAAATTCCTCCCTATCGATAAAAAAATACAGTTCTAATGAAATTTGCTTATTTCTGGAAAAAATAACGAGTGGGGTTTAAAGAATGAGAGAATAATCTAGTAACATATTCATTAATTGATCTCAAATGTTGCATCCCGGAGCCGAAGATTACAGTACCTAACTACCAACGGACGCCCCTCCCAAGCTACGGATCACTCGCCCGCTAACAAACGAAAACCTGAGCAAGCAAATAATAAAACTAAACATTAAAATAAGCAAAATAAACTCGCGTTTTCGTGTAGAAAATAATTATTTAAATCGAAGATGCTTGGCAAGCTATCCTAGCTACCGTATTAAAGGGGATTATTAAGAAAGCAACAAAAGATGAGACTAGGACTGCAGAAGACTAGTAGATATTGAAAAGTATAGCAGTAAATGAATAATAGAGAGACGGGGACTTCTAATTCTCATTTAGTTCTTTCAGGCACTAGTGTTGATTCTACCCTGTGAAGGACGGACCGAGAATTATGAAAACACCCACAAGCACTGCACGTTCTCGTAGCTTGCTTCCATGAATGCAGACCCGGTTAGTTCAGCGACGTGGATGCTGGTAATCCAAGCTGACTGGACGTTCCTAGGTCCAAAGTCCTGGAAGCGTAGGACGAGTTCCTCCAAATACGTCAGTAAGTATTAGCGCAGTAATTGCAGTGCCGCTTCGTGGCCCAAATGGTAGTCACGCCAGTCCCCGATCTCTCTGAAATTCTCCATTGGCTTATGAAGACGGTTTAGGCCAGATGAAAAGAAATAAAATGAGGTTTTGGGGAGCCATCTTGAGACAGCTTAGTGAGTCAAGGTGTCGCCGGGTAAAGATATTGGTCTCCTATTATATTGATTATAATATTGATCTCCTAATGCGGGCTAACTGAGAGCAAGCACACTGATACTAAAGCTCTTTTCACACAGGGCGGCCAATACCGCAAGCGACAAAAAAAAAAAACGCGACGATATGTACCGCGAGGCGGTTTTTAACGCTGGGGAAACTATCAGACTTGCAGTGATCCGAAAGTTGTAAGTGTTTGTCAACTGTGTCTATTTTATGGCTTCCCAGAGTAGAGAAGAGAAGTCTCTCGATCCTTTCATACTTGCTGAGTAGAAGACAGCAAAGGAAGTAAAGAAGGCGGTGCTGGGTTCACAATATAGTAAATGTAAGGCTGCAAAAAAGAGAATTTGAAAAAAAGGGAAAGAAAAAAAGAATTTAAGGGAAGATGAAGTCAAATTCATTATTTTTGCTAAAATCAGCCGAAAATTTTGACGAATTGTAGTCATATGTCCAAGACAAATTAACCCACAACATGCAGATGAGAGACGCGCCTGCTAGTGAAAAACTGGCTTCAAGTCTCTGGTAAAGTATTTCGATTTCCCTGAGTATATAGGTTGTAGTAATGGCAATTATGATAACAAACCATTATTTATTAAAAGAAATCATATTACTTTTTATTCAACTTTATATAAATACAAAAAATACGTTACAAAGTAATAATACTGCAACTATTTTTATTAATGATTTAATTAAGCTCGAGTCCAGTTTCAATCAGGCAAAACAAAAACAATATGACAAGAAATAATAACCTAACTTTACGTAGTGATATGCTACGTACAATTTAAATACGTAGAAATAAAATTCATATAACAAACAATATACCCCCCAAGAGGTTCCTTTCATATAATGAATGCTGTAAACGGCTCAGATTCCAGTAAATGTCTAGCAATTGATGTAGTGATGAGCCAGAAGAGGCAGATGCCACGGGAGGACGGCTATCCAGGCTATTGTACATGAAATTTGCATTGGCTGTAAATGCGCATATGTTGCACATGGCATTTTCTGCAGTCGCGCAACTGAAGCTGTTTCCATTGGCGCAGTAGTATTGACAGCATTTTACGTCTAAAATGTTGCAGCTCCACCTGTTCCTGAGACATTGTTGCAGGGATAGTTATTTCTAGATTTTCTTATGTCAGAGATTACTGATATTACCCGTGCTTTCAGCTCCAATTTTTCGTCTTCTGTGAAATCTTTAACAGATGACTTCAAAGACCTGAAAAATAAACCTATATCATCTGATTCGCTGTCATCTGACTTATTAAGGTTATTAAGGTTGTCAAGTGTCTCCATATCCACTGCTTTTGATTTCTTAGGTCTTCTTTCAAATTTCGGAGAAGGTTGAACTTCCAATTCATCTTGGTTATTATTAGTGGGCGTCGGAATATTTGAAGCACTCTTTGCGGCATCAAAAGTCTTCAACAGAAATTGCATTTGTGGGGCGTACAAGTACGATCGTTTGTGTGGGCGTGATCCAGACGGAGCATTTCTAATTGCATTATGACTCTTTCGGAAAGCATCACGCAGGGTTTTCCATTTCGTCTGAAGTTGTTTAGCTGAAACGAAATGAAATAGAGTAATAATTTAAAAGTATCATCTAACATTGTACAATATTTTGCAAATGTTATTATATTTTTTCAGATACCTTGCCACTGGTTGCACGATGACAGCATTGTATTATTCATATCGGCTGAGCATATCAACAATAAGTGGAGCAATGAGGGAAGTCTGTATTGAAATATGGCAAGCATTGCAAGCCAAATGTTTTCCGCTGTACACGGAGGAGAATTGGAATTTCATATCACAATGCATTGAAAAATATTCCAATTTTCCTAACTGTTTAGGGGCCATAGACGGCAAACACGTCTGACTTATTAGCCCATATAATTCTGGATTCTTGTAATACAATTACAAGAATTTTTTTTCTTTTTTTCAATTATCCTTTTGTCCAACTACTTCTTTGCGTACATTGATATTGGGTCGTACGGAATTAAGGGATTGGGACTCGACCATGTACATCTTTTTTGAAATTACAAAACGGAAACCTAAACTTACCACAACCAAAATTTTTGCCAAATGATAACTCCACTGAAATGCCGTTTGTCTTTGTTGCTGATGAAGCTTTTGGATTATCAGAGTCATTAGACCATGTGCAGGCCGCATTTTAACAAATAAAAAACGAATCTTTAACCATAGTTTATCGCGTGTAAGGAGGTACATACAATGTACGTTTGGTATATTGTCCAACAAGTGGAGGATTTTCATCATCCACTTAATGTGTCTAATAAATTAGCAATTGATATTGTAAAAGCCTGTTGCGTACTGCACAATTTTGTTCGAACAAGAGACGGACACAGAGTTCATGACGATAGTAATAGCGATGAATTACAAACTGTTGCAAATATTGGTCGACAACAATTAGGAGGAAGAGGAGCTAACCGCATCAGAGATATGTTTGCAGAATATTTTGCAAGCGACAGTGCTTCAGTGTCATGGGAAGAATACGACGTATGATCTGAAAATATTTCTACTCACCAATGTCATTCTTTGTTCCGACATTTTTGATTTCTGCATAATTTTCCGTCAGCTCTTCGCATATGGTCTTCCATGCATTGACTTTTTTAATCCTATCCTTGTAGTCGCTGCAGGCCGTATCCCATACAGCAGGGTGTTTTTCTACAGCTATAATAAGCTTTTCGTTGTCCTCTGCACTCATCGTTGAACCTGAAACTATATGTATTTTCCAATAAAAATATGTTTCAATGTTCACAAACTTGTCATTGCAAAATTCATTCATCAACAAGAAGAAATGAGTCTAATTATCCTTACCTCTTTTCGTAGCTGGAGCTGCACACACCCTCACCGACCCACTGTCTGTACCACACTAGCATGTGGCGTTAAAAACCGCTTAAGCCCCTTTCACACAGTGCGGCGAATACCGCCAGCATCCAAAAAATAAGCAGCGGGATTTACGGCGTAATCATTCACACGAGGCGATTTTTAGCGCTGGAATCTATCAGTCTTGCAGCGCTATTTTATGCACCTTCAGTCTATCTTTATGTAACAATATTTATGTTTATATAACAATTATCTTTATGAAAAGTTAGGTGGAAGGTCTTATGGTCTTTAGGTGTAAATAATGGACATAAAGTATATATTTTTATGGAACATACATTTTATGGAAAATATAATAGTTTATTAAATATATCTTCATCACTTTTTGGAAATATATATTTATCAATATATGCCATTATGTTTTATGTTACAATATTAGTTTATATTCTAGCATTTTTGCAATGCTGTTTATCATGCACATTAAATTCGGCCCCACTGTCTGTATCACACTAGCTGGTGGCGTGAAAAACCGCCTAGGTGAAAGATTACATTGAATACCATAACAAGTTAAACTGTTGCATCAAAGATACCGCCGCAGTTTTAGCAGTACACACGCGGGCGTCAGGCGTCAAATATCTATGCCGCATAAAAATCCGTCGTGTGTGAACAGCAGTGCACATTTTGTGTGTCCGCTGAGGTTTTGCGGTAATTGCTGCCCCGTGAGAAAGGGGCCTATTACGGACCCCTTGCTGGGACACGGGGCAGGTGCAGGGAGGACTGTAGGACTGGGACACGGGGCAGGTGCAGGGAGGACTGTAGGACTGGGACACGGGGCAGGTGCAGGGAGGACTGCTTCTACTAAGTCATCATGCAGTACAGGGGGTAAAGCAACGTAACAGCTTCGTGTGCAATAATGAATAATTATTAAGAATGAATTGATACTCCATCAACTTGACAAAATTTATTTATAATGAGTTGGAAGCCCAATCAACAAAACTAAATGGAACTGATTGAAATACGAAAATTAGTAAGTAATGTAGCATGACACCTCAAGCGTGAAAATCATAGAAGGAGATTTTTAAGTTAAAAATTCCAAGTTTTCAGGAGAGCCAAATAACTGAAATTTGTGTTCATTGTAGGCATAGAATTCAGCAAAACAACTGAAATAATCATAATGTGTTTTGAAAAACCTGCTGAAATCTCGGAAAACGTAGTTATTTGACTAAACCTTCATTTTTGGCGAACCTTGTTGTGAGTGAGAACAGTGAGATTCTACTGAGTGAATACAGACCTCTAGTACTATGTACCACAATTGAGGTTTGAGCGTACCATATCACTTCGTTAT